TACACGTAGCCCCTCTCCCATTTACTTGCATGTATCCCATTTTCAATAAAAAGGCACGGTGATTCCTAGCAGTTGTCACTCCTCAGAGAGCGATCTTAGAGGAGTGTCCAGCTTAGGACGTGCATGAAAAAGCACGAGGCCTTTGTCTTTCTTTCCCTCCAGCGTCGCCTCCATCGAGCAAACCCACCCCTGCCGAGGCTGGTCCCCGGCACGGCGTGACCATCCCCCCCTGGGGGGTGATTTCTCGGTTTCTATCTCTCTGTCTCTCTCTGTCTGGCGAGCGCATGTGCCCTATAGCGAAAAACCTCTCCAAAAAAAAAAAAAAAAGAACCAGAAAGTGATGAGGACAGAAGTCTGACTGCTTTTTCGTATTTCCAAAATCCCAGAGGGCCTGGAGGGAGTCACACCCACAAATACTCACACAGCACTTTGATCCATTGATAACAGGGCTCTTCCTACACCCTGTCCCTGGCATAGTATCTTTGTGATGACATTAAGCCTCCTCATCTGCTGAAGTACATTCCTTGCTGATCTCAGCAAACCTTCCCTTTCCAATCACCAGCCTGAAACTGTGAACCCACCTGTCACCTATAACCCTCCCTCCACTTGCACATGCCCTGCCTTTTGGGGCCAGGCCAATGGGAAAACTCTTCACTAAATTCCAAACTTTGTCTCTCACTCTCAAAAGCAAATGAAAGGACGCCCCCATATCTGGGCACCCTGAAAAGGCATGTTTACCTTTCTGTGGGGTAGTCACACATATTCGTGTTTAGAAATGAACTGCACGAATTCTTATTTCTGCAGAGCTGGTTCTTTCCATCGACAGTGGAGTCAACCCATGCCCACCAACTGATGACAGGAGGAATCAGAGGTGCTGTAGCCCACCAGGGGCCGTATTGCTCCACCAGAAAGGAATAGAGGCCTGCCACCTGGCACCGCCCGGTGTGGGCTGAGCGCGAAGGCATTTAGAAAGAAGTCAGACTCCAAAGGCCACATACTGTGGGATTCCGTTCATATGAACTATCCAGAACAGCCCGATTCATAGAGACAGAGAGGAGATTGGTGATTTCGGGGGGGGCTGAGAATGACCGTTAAGGGGGCTGGGTTTCTTTGGGGGTGATGAAAAGATCGTGAATAGGCTGCACACTTGGAAAGGGTGCCTTGCTATGTGGGGAATGTCTCTAAGGCCGTTTGAAAACTGGGTGGAGCGAGGGGTGTAAGCTCCTTGCATGTCGACCTGGTGCAGAGGTGAGGAGTAACTGGCAGGGAAGGGAAACGTGTGCGTGTGGGTGAGACTCCCCGGCACCCTCTAAGCTTATGCAGTCTCTTCTAAATGTTTTAAAGTTTATTTATTTGTTTCTTCTATGAGAGAGGGGGCGAGACAGAAAGGGTTTGGGGGGCAGCTCCCCATGAATGAAGCAAGGCAGGCCAGAGGAACGTCGCTCCTGCCGCCACCCTGGCTTAGAGGATGCCGGGAACACGATGCATCCCCACCTGCACGCTGCCCATCCTGCAGGGCCGTGACAGCCCCAGCGTGCGAGGCTTAAAAGTTAAAATAAAAAAATATTGATTTCATTTTATTTCTTCTTATGATCATTAGTATTTAATTTACTACAGGGCACGTGCGCTCACCAGAGAGAGACAGAGTGAGAGAGAGAAAGATGGAAAGTGAGAAAGCGAGCTGTGAGGTTTGGGGCTCAAACCGTGGTTGACCACGTGGGAGTCCAGCACCTTAGCCACCATGCCACCTTCTGGCCCCTGGGGTAGCATTTTCATACCTGCTGCTACAAGGCAGCCTATGAGGCCGCACCTGCCCACCCTGCCCGTATCTCTACCGCTGTCTGCCCACCTGCACACCAGGGAAGTCCTGGGCAGGAGGCAAAGGGGGCCACAGTGTGCAGTGTGGACGTGTGGCACCCCATCACGGCAGGGCGGAGGGTCGAGAGCCGAGTGACAGAACATTCTAGAATATGGAGACTTCCTGCACAGGGCGGTGCAGGGACTCAGTCGGGAGGACGGAGATGACCCCACGGTGTACAGCAGCCTGCCGTCACCTGGGGAGTGGCTTTATTGAGAGATTTCTGCTCTAGGACGAGTGTAGTTACCTGAAAGCCAGAGAGAGACACAGAGACAGAAACTGAGGACTCACCCCTCAGGTGGATGGCCACGCTATAATCCCTTCTCCATTCTCCTCTCAGGATCTCGGGCACGCACACGCATGCAACCAGAGCGAGTTTCAAACAGCTGGGTCTGGGACTCGAACTGTGGTTGATCACATGGGAGTCCCGCACCTTAAACACCATGAAGGCCCCAGCTAGGGGGATTTTTAAACATGTGTCTGGGGTGGCATGGTCACTGTACTTTTTAATTTAGGTGTTTGCTGTAGGTATGAGCTGCAAGATGACTGCAGCAGCCCCAAGCGCTTCATTCTCTGGGACAACAGTCATGCTCAGGTCTCTGTCTACGATACCTTTTTGGAAGAAGAGAAATTTCTCGGAAGACTTCTTTTTTAAAAAATAATTTTTTTTGAGAGGTTTTTGCTATAGGGTGCATGCACTTGCCAGTAAGACAGAGAGAGAGAGAGACAGAAAGCGAGAAATCACTCCCCAGGGGGGATGGCCGTGCCGCAATCCCTTCTCCTCTATTCTCCTCTTGGGATCTTGGGCACACATGCACACGTGCCCGGCGTGAGTTTAAGCCACCGGGTCTGGGATTTGAAACACGGTTGACTACAATGGAGTCCAGCAACATCGCCATTACGCTAACTGCTGGTCCCCATTTATTTATTTTTAATCTGACCAGAGAGAGACACAGAGAGAGAGAGACAGAGAGAGAGAGAGAGAGAAGGAAAGTGAGAAAGCAAGCCACCAGGTCTGTAACTCAAACCATGGTCGGTCATGTGGGAGTGTCCAGCGTCCTAACCACCACACCACCTGCTGGCCCTGTCCCGGAAGACTTCTAATATCCATTCATGCTTAATCCCATCTCTAGCGAGGGAATGTGTT